CAACCACCACGTACCCGTAACCCATGCCACGCTGGCCAGAACAGTCAGCTTTCCCCCACTTGTCCGTACGAATATTACCGGATAAAGCCGGTTACTTCCAGAGACCACGCCATCTAAGGGCCAGATGGAGGCGCTTTTACGGTCTTAACCTCACTATTTGGAAACTTGTGGTCGAGATTTGAAGATAGAAGCAAAACAGCAAGGGCAAAAATGAAAAAAAACAGAAAAAGCGCAACGAGGGACAGTACTTAAATCAACCACTTAATGGCTGCCACTTGTCACCATCCGGTGCTGTCTTCCATCTCCGTTTCACCTTCACTCTTTTATAGCCTCAAATAAAAACTCCCCCAAATTTTGATTTTTCAGAAAAATAAGTCCGCAGGAAATTGTAGTGGCTGAGATTTCTCCTTACTCTTGGACGGTAGTTTCTGGTGTTTTAGGTGTCGACGACGAGACGCTTTCACTTCTTCTTTCTTCTTCTTCTTCTCTGCTGCTTTTTTATCCCTTTCCTTCATTCGCGTTTTCAATCCTGTAATCCATTACTGACTTTCCGATCACACCATTGCCGGAAGCTATGACTTCTCCGGGGAGCTTCGGGTGAATTCGGTACATGCGTGATCGATCTTTCCAGAGTTCTCATCCACCATGGCTATCTCCGAAGGTACTCCTCCATCGCATTTTTAGGGCTTTGCCTGTTACTCTCTTCCGTTTGGTTTCCGAGAAAAATCAAGAAAAGAGTAAATCAGACTGTTTTCGATTTACTACTCACTCTGATCGACTGAGCTCAATTGTACTTTTCGGCGCGGTTGAATGGAGTGATTTACTGTGTTTTTTTCTCGGAAACCAAACAGGAGTTATTGATTTTTGTGATACGGTAAAGTATTGATGCGTTATTGGAGAGTGGATACGGAAGCGATTGTTGATTACTAATTGAAGTTTCTTTCTCCTTTCATCTTCATTTTCGTAAGGTTTTGGCGTCTGCCGGTTCGTTTTGGTGAGGATTCTGAATAAAGGAATTTACTTTTAAGTTCTTTCCGAAGAAGCTGTCCTCTCTGTGTTAACGGTGGATACTGAAAATTTTTTTCCCGAAGGATGCTTTTTCAATTTACTAAGTTATAATATATATTACAGTTATAAGAACTATCATTATTTCAATCTCAGAAATGGATTGGAATGCTTGATTGTGATGATTGTAAACAGAGACGGATCTCTATCGATTGTTGTTGATTTTTCTTTCTTGCAGTAGTATTTACTTATCAGGTTTGGTGCATTACAAGGACGGCTTTACTATTTGTAGTATTCCATGTTTTCCGGAATGAAAGGAGGTTTGTGTTTTATCAATTGTTGGTTAGGGAGGATTTAAAGCAGCGGTAGCTGCCTAGTGTTTGATAATGGACACATACTCCTCTGGTGAAGACTTGATTATCAAGGTATTCCTTCTGAGTTTGATTTTGATGTTGGGATAGGAGATGATGTTTAAAACATGAAACTATGAAGTTTGTACTTTGTGTTGATTACAGACTAGGAAGCCTTATACTATAACAAAACAACGAGAGCGATGGACAGAAGAGGAACATAACAGGTTCCTAGAGGCCTTGAAGCTCTATGGACGTGCTTGGCAACGGATAGAAGGTTATAATTTTCTCGCACTGCTATATTATCCTTTTCTTATATCCGTTGTATTCTGGATATTGCTTATCTGATGGATTTGGTAATAGAATTACACCTAACTTACATAAAAATTGGAATTATTATGGTAGCGTATATAGCTGAATATGTTGGATATTGTAATAAAGAATTATATGAAATGGTGTTGCTAATTTTCTCTTAATTGGATACGTCTCTCTTCTGGTCTCTGTTTATTTGATGCCCTGCAGAACACATTGGAACAAAGACTGCTGTGCAGATTAGAAGCCATGCACAGAAGTTCTTTTCAAAGGTCACCCTTTCTTGCCTTACACTTTTGTTAAATGATTCTGTTTGCTTCTTTAATTGATGTTCTATGATTTGAAATACGTTGCAAAACTGAATTGTTCCTTCAATTTCTCACGTTTTTGATCTGGTTGCAGTTTCGTGGTTGCATCTTTAAATCTATTTTAGATTCCATTTGGTTCTGCCTTTTTCTTTTCTTTTAATTGTAATCATAGCATTTATTTACTTAGGAGAACATAGATAAAAATGTCACATATGATCTAACGTTTGTGTCTAGTTTTAAATTCTTTTATATTAATTTATAAAAAAAAAAAAAAACGAGAAAGACCAGTGCCAGCATATAGAACATACACTATTTGTATGAACTGGTGTGACTTGTATGTGTCAGAAACAGTACTTGTAATAATTTTTATAACCAACAAATTGAAAAAACACAGGTCTTGTCAAAAGTTGCATTCTTATTTTTGTCAGGTAATTTTATCCTCCCTTAGAGCAGGTGATGTCTCAGAATGTGTCTTCACCAGCTAGCAAGCAAACCTTAGTGAACAAGTTACAATATATGTTTGATAGAAAAGTTACCTTTGGCGCTAAAAGACGTGCCAAGTGGATGATTTATGCTATTACAATCTGAGCAAGTATGAAAGAAAAAGATCTAACACCTGAAATTTTTCCGGAAAACATTTTCTGGAATTTCTGGATTTTCTCCATTCCTTGATCTTCCAGTCCTTCATATAGGTACAATTAAATATTTAATTTCATGCAAAGTATTCTGTTTAAATGTCTTGTTAAGATAAATCTGTGAATTGAATGATGTTTATACCTCAACTTTGGAGATTAGATGATAATTTGTAGATAGCTAAAAAAAGTTTAAATAAGGGTCTCCAATAAGGATGGAGGGAATGGTAGGTTTAAACCTTTTCTGACTGGTGTCATAGCTGGAAAGAGGAACACTTATCCTGATATTGCACATACTAACCTAAATCTAGGCTTTGCAGGGCTACTGGTGGCTTATTGGGAGTGGGGTGCTTAAGTATTTGTCGGAGTTCTCTTACAAGTTACAACTAAACATGGTGTTAGTCTGTTAGAATTAGTGCTATGTACCTCAAAGGTTGATTTAGAAATATATTCTTGTTTATTTAATGTGTTATACTTTATAAATCTTCCTTTTAAGGAAACTGTTTTTGAAATAGTTATTGATGGTAGAGTATGTTGACCTTTTGATTCATCAATTAACTAGGTTATCACCTGACCTCCTATTTCCCTCTCCTTGTTCTAGATTTACTTCCCTGTAGGTGAATCTTTTATGTGTATTTCAACCTTGGGCTGATAGTAGGGTTTCTTCTGCATTATTTGGCATTAAATTAAGTTTTCTTTGGTACTTTAAAAGATCCTGTAATACTTGAAAGGGGGCTGGTTTGGCCAAGCTGTCATGACAGCTTGGCCAAACCAGCCCCCTTTTTTCATTTTACTAAATTGTTGAGTATGTTCACTGCCATCTTTCTGTCTGTATGCCTGTTAGTATAATTAAAATTACATTGGACCATGTAAATTCTTTCAGAGAACACCACATGAACACCATATTACAGAAAACTTGAATGTTAAATTACTTAATCAACTTAGATCATTCTAGTTACAAATCATACAACTGAATGTGATATGATAAATTGTGATTGGGGAAAAAAGCTACTTATACATGAAGCATATGATTCAAGGCTACTTTAGAATCAATAATGCACTTCTAAGAAACAGAAAAACAAAAAATGTATTAAAAACAGCAGGAGAGTCTTTTAAGATCATTTCTTCTTGACAAAGTATGGTGAACAAAATTGCATTTCCTCAGAGAAGAGCAGCAAAAGTCTGCTTTTCTTAGATTAGATTTTCTTTTTCCTGATATTGGCAAATAGTAGACATTGATTACTCTGATGATAACTTGTTTTTTGTTTGACAAACCATAAGAGGAGAGGCTAATATTTCTAAGATTGCAGACACTAAGTAGTGTAGAGAGATAGGAGACTCAGATCTCAATCAAACATTATTGGGATTTCCAGACAAATGAATTTGTTGTGTTGTGCTTTTGCACTCCCTTTTCTTTTCTTGCTTTTATTACATCAAAATTTAAAATTATTCTGATCAGTACTCTCTCTCTCTCTCTCTAATGCAAAAGATAATCCTCCAATTTAGTCAAAGCACAATTATGTGATCATCTCCATCCGTATTGTATGTGCCAGCAATTTATCAAAGGGTTGATGTAGGAAAAATAGCTGTCATTTTATACCAGTTTGTGTTAGTATAGGTAGGAAATGCTGGTAGGTTTTGGAATTTCAGTAAGTTAATCATTCAAGAAGTCAGTTACCAATGACCATATTTGATTATAACCTAAAGTAGTTTGGTAAACTCTTAAATGCTTCACCTCAAACTTGACACAAACAGCCAGCCCGGAAGGAAAGAGGGCTTAATGCAAACAATTTCTCTATTAATTTACCATACATCAAGTTTTTTAATTCCTATAAAAAATATGCATGTTGCAGATTGATCTTTAAAGCTGGTCTTATTGGTAGCCTGGAACTTTAATTTTCTTGATTTTGTTCCTAATTTGAAATCCTGACAAATATTCCATTTCAGTTGGAGAAGGAAGCTCTAGCTAAAGGCATTCCAATTAGTCAAGCTCTTGACATTGATATTCCACCTCCACGCCCTAAAAGAAAACCAAACAATCCTTATCCTCGAAAGACAGGCGTTACTGCTTCCACAGCACAGCTGGGAGCGAAGGACGGAAAGCCTTTGACCACAGCTTCTTCTTCACATTGCAACCGAGTACTGGACTTGGAGAAAGAACCTCTTCCTGAGGTTAATTTCTCTATCTTGTATTCTTCATTCTCTTGATGTTGCAGCTCGTTAGTTCTGTTTAGTATTATATCTGTATAATAGTTTCATCTGTGCTCATTTGGCAGAGAACTAGTGGCGATGACAAACCAACAAATGCAAGAGACAATCAGGGAGAGAGTTGCTCTGAGGTTTTTACCCTTCTCCGAGAAGCAAACTGTTCCTCTGTGTCTTCAGTAAACAAAAGTCCTATACCAACATCAGCTGTACTCAGGAATTCCTGCACTTTAAGGGAGTTTGTACCTTCTTTGAAAGAGGTGATTAATATCAATGAATCAAAGTTATCTTTATTTTACTTTTAAACTTAAAAGAAATCCAGAAGATTGATAAATTTAATGCCAAACAGAAGCTTCAAGATAATGGCACCAGCAAGGCTTCAAATTTCGAGAATTCTTTCACTTCATCTGAGATATCAGTTCAAGTCATGGAAAAACATGATTCAGATGATGCATTGCCTACTGACGAGATCCAAGCCACTCAAAACTACCCAAGGCATGTTCCTGTCCATGTTGTAGAAGGGAGGCCGGGATCTTGCACTCAAACTCCAACAGAAATGCCATTTCAGGATTCCATCCTTCATCCCGTGGCGGATATTCATGTGCAACCTAGTCTGTTTGCAAATCCACCTGCATCTACTTTGACCGATCAGAATAATTCACCAAGACCTGGTCATCAGGCATTTCCAAGTTTTCATCCTCCCTTGACCCCCATTTGCCCTAATCAAGAGGACTATCGATCATTTCTCCATATGTCATCCACCTTTTCAAGTCTAATTGTGTCTACTTTGTTGCAAAACCCAGCAGCTCATGCTGCAGCAAGCTTTGCAGCTACATTTTGGCCATATTCGAATGTGGGGACTTCTGTAGATTCTGCTGCATGCAGCCAAGGCAGTTTGCCATCCAGGCAGATGAACTCTGCTCCTAGCATGGCTGCTATTGCTGCTGCAACTGTTGCAGCTGCAACTGCATGGTGGGCTGCCCACGGACTCCTTCCTGTATGTGCTCCTCTTCACAATGGTTTTACCTGTGCTCCTGCATCCATTTCACCAATGGATACCAATCAAGCTCCAGCTTCCAAGACAGAAAGAAAAGAGAATGCTGATCTAAATCTTTCTGTTCAGGAACAACACCAGGACTCTGTAGACTCTGAAGCATTGCAAGCTCAACTTTCAGTCTCTAAATCACCAACTTTGTCAACATCAGACTCTGAAGAGTGTGGGGATGCACGGCCAAATACTGGAGCAAGAGCTGCTGACCATAAGACGGCTGAAGCAGTAACTGAGCTTCGTGATGCTAACAAAACAAAAGGCAGAAAACAGGTTGATCGCTCTTCATGTGGCTCAAATACACCTACCGGTAGTGAAGCAGAAACAGAAGCCTTACAGAAGCTCGAAAAAGGCAAAGAAGAGACTAAAGAAGCTGATGCAAATCATCCAGCCACCGAGGCTAGTAACCGTCGCAGTCGAAGTAGTAGCAACTTGAGTGATTCTTGGAAGGAGGTCTCTGAAGAGGTGATATGACATTTTCATTTCTGGATTAATATGTAATTAATTATGTCTCAGCATCCATGGCTGCTCAGCTCATGTTTCTCTTATGTTAGGGGAGGCTGGCTTTCCAAGCTCTCTTCTCTAGAGAGGTACTGCCGCAAAGCTTTTCACCTAAACATGCTGGCAAGACCAAGGGGCAGCAGCAGGACAATGTAGAAGAAGACAAGAAAACTGCAGAGAAAGATGGAGATGCGTCCGCTTTAGATCTCAACAGCAACACATTGGGAACTTGTTCTGACCACCATCAAGGAGTTGAGAAAAAACCAACATCAACAGGTGAGAACAAAGAAGAAGATGGCCTGCTAACTATTGGGCTGGGACATGGAAAGCTTAAGGCTCGTCGAACAGGATTTAAACCATACAAAAGGTGTTCCATAGAAGCCAAGGAAAACATACTGCTGAACACCAACAGTCATGTTGAAGAGAAAGGGCCCAAGAGGATACGCCTGGAAGGGGAAGCGTCAACTTGACTCTGCCATTTTGCATGCAATTAACCGAGGCATCCCTTGTTGCATGTAATTTTTATTTCCCCCTTATCCATTTGTGGTTCCTGTTTATTTAAAGACTTGCAGCTCACG